TAGGTTAAGCAAAGACATTGCCATTCCATCTGTTCAACCACTCATTGTTCTTCTTGCCTGCCTGGAAGTCTGCAGCTAAAATTGTGTTGTTACTGCTGAAGCTGCCACAGAAACCAATGTCTTTGTATTTTCCTGCTAACGTAAGTATCTGTGCTACTTAGTGCTTTTGGAAGTTAAACTGTTCTGTAAGGGCTATAATTTCAGCTTTGAAGAATGGGAAAAACCACACGGAAAGAAAAATGTTAGTGCCAGTATAATAAGAGAACCTGCTTCTTTCTGTGAGAATATATCTGTGCATCAGAGTTTTATGTTTCTATGTTTGGGTATTTTATAAATAATTACTTGTAGCTTAGTGAATGCTTGTAAGCCATGGGCATTACTCACAATCATTTGGAGTTTAAGACAGTTATTAAAAAGTTCTAATATCATGCTAAACAACAAATTTAGATTTTATCTTGTCAAATGCTTATGTTTCTGAAGACATTACTGCCATATCTAGTTCCTGTGAAATGATGGTCAGATTCAGTAGATTTTTCTAGTATGTGAAGAGTCTAGTTTGCAGAGATGGATTGATACTGATAGATGTTTCCAACAGCTGGTTTTAAAGATGATGATTAAGCATTCAATTGCCTTGTCAACAATTTCAGTATTCATGTAAAATTGATTTCCTCACCCCTTCTTTTCCCCTTGCATTATTTTCAGATATTAGGTTGAAGATGCCATTTCAGTTACTTTCAAGAGTTCTGTAATGGGGAAGTGAGAAGTAGACAAAGACTTTCATCTGTCAGTTGGGAGGGAAAGAAAGAACATAAAGGGTTAAAGAGAGGTTTTCATTTCTACCACATGCCCTATTGTGTGGACATATGCATAAGTCTATTGAAAGTTTTCAGAAGATAGGCAGGCCACCAGTTGCTGGTCTCCTGCAGTTCCAGTAGACATCTGTTGCCTCAGAACATTAACCAATCTGTTCAAAGGGACATCCCTCCTTTGTTAGCCAGAGGGATGCAGACAACAGTGCTTGCTCAAATACAATGGTAATTAAATACGCAAAGACCATAGCAGTAGGTATTTATTACATATTCATTATTTTATTTTCATTGTTCTCATAGTAGAACCATTTGGATAGCAACCAGAACCTACTTTCATGGCATTGTAACTTTACAAACAAATAATTTGATGTAACAAGTTTATGGTGTAATATTATGCTTTTTAGAATGCTTAAAAATAAGCTTTACCTGGTTCGAGGAGAGTTGCTATTCAAGTTGTCTATTGAGAACTTTCAAAAAAATCTTTTCACTAAATAGAGGAATTCCAATATATGCACTAATCTTCAGGTCAGTACCTTCATTTCCCAAGCCTGTGTTTAGCTACTGCAGTTATTTTTTGATAATTGAATGAATAAGTTACTCTTTTATCATCTATAAAATTACCATAATTCCATCTTTTTCAACAAATACTATTATTTAATTTTTAGATAGTCTTTGTCAAGAAAAAGAGTGAGTTTCTGATATACTATCTAGAGGTAATCCATGGATCTCTAAGACTGGAGATGTCTTTTTGATTATTCTGCTTTTGCCCAGGGCCTTTTGAGTGCAAGAATATAGTGTGTTTACTATAGACGTGTGCAATGTGCAAGCCATCATGTAAAATGACTTCATGACACAAACTTTGCAGGTTCTTCTCGGAGTCTTCCAGTGACTCTGGGAGTACAAGTGGTCTACTTTGTATGGGATGCTTTGATTCTGCTTTTGCATGAAGGGAGGAAAAGTATCCCACTAGTTGATATTTATTTGAGTTTCATGAGTACTTACATAAGCTTGGGTTTCACTGAAAATGCGAAACTTAAAAAGCCTAAACCGTTCATGGTTTAGGAACTGAGCAAAAGATATTGTTGCATTGCGTAGAGTAACACATTCCGTGAAGCCTTTTCTTTTGAAAACCTAGTAGCCATCGCTAAAATGCTAAACAGATGTAAACAGCGTGGTGCTCCTGATTCTGCAAAGCTTTGTAACTCCTTGCAAGCTTTGTCTTTTCTGATGCTACTGTTGGTATCTCCTTTTAAATCTTTAGGCTAACATTTAAATTTTTACTGAATAACTTTAGGATAGTGTCAGATTCAAGATTGTTTTTAAATGCCATATTAAGTCATGGCAACTTTTTACCAGCTTGGACTTGATGAGAAACATTCTACAGATTGAAGTTTTAAAATCCAAATCTTTACTATCTCAGTCACTACAAATCAAGTGACTTTAAATGTTAATTTAAAATCTAGACAATGCTTGCATTTATTGTTAACATTGAAAAACATTATTGGATATTATTGAAAAATATTGTAAAGTGTTATTTAAATATTATATACAAATGACATGATTGCTTCAAGTTGAAAGTATTAGTGTTTGCTAATTACATTACTATAAATAACTACTAAGTGGTTTAATATTATAAAAACAACAAAACATCCATTTTGCCCCATTTTTTCATTATAGCCATGTGGTAAAGTACATAGAAAACCAAATTTGGGTACTACCACTGGTACTTTTCAAATACTAGACTGAAGGAGAAATAGAAGAATTGATTGAAATTCAGTTTTAGAGTGATCAGACTTCTTGTTTCAACACTTTACAGTATCTGTGTTTTTCACTTTGAAATGTGAAAATTAACAAAATCTACATATCCTGCAATCAGAAATTTTCGTTCTAATACTTTTTTCTGTAGGTATTCATCATGTCTGATATAGCTCAAAAATATAAAACTGCTCAATATTAAAATAATATTCTGTAGTTCAACTCAGCAATTTGGTCAGCAAGTCATTATCGTGAATTATCTCACAATAGCACTAATGCAAAACCCAAACTTTTCAGGGGAGATCAAAAATATTTCCCATTAAATGCACTTCCTGCAGTCAGAACAGATTGTGGGGTTTACAGAACAATGATGTCGGAGCTTCCAGATTGGTTTGGCAGCTGCATTGTTCTCTGAGGGTAAACCAGACGCACTTAAGTCCCAGTCTCTTTTATGGGCTTTTGTTCATACCAAATTATTCTTTCACTGTGCTAGCATTCATGATGGCATGTTAAAGGAGTGCAGCTTAGCAACCATCTTCTGGTTGCCAGGCAGCCCAGCTTCCAATAGATTTTTCTTGTTTAAGATACTTTTGGTGGGAGCTCTACTAAGGCCAGTGTGTAGATTTTTTTTTTAACTGTATCCCATTATTAGGATGCTGTTGTGATTTGTTACTTGCATTATGGGTGTTAGTACATTACTGTAGTTAATAAATCACAGGGTGTACAGATTTACTTTCAAAGTCCCTTAATTCTAAGTAATTGGGCCGTGCATATCCATATTAATAGAAGAAGTTGAAATGGACACAGCTTCATAATGAAGCAGATGCTCTTTATCAGTGGGGTATCCAGGAGCTAGGAAACTCGGTGTTTCTTTAGTGAGTGCTGTATTAGTAGAACAGTGGTATTCAAGTCACTCTCAAAGAACAAACCCTGAAGAAACTCCTATAGAGATGGGTAGAACTTCAACCCCAAGAAAATGTTGAAATTTTGTATTTTTAAAGATTGCATGTTGTATTTATCATTGTTAATAAAATTCATTATACTGTAGAAGTATTTGATTCTGTAGTGGGTTTATTGGGTATACCTGCAAATTTCTCAGAAAATCAGAATTTCCTTTTAATATTTATATAATAGCTTTCTTCATATATATATATATATATTGTTGAAGAGCTTCAGTTTAAAAGAGACTATTTTTCCAATTTTCTTTATTAGATATTTAAATAGGTGTTCTCTGACAGCCTTAGGGTTAGCTATCCCTGACTTGCTGATTAATGGTAGAACACCAGAATTATTGCCATAGTCAATAAATGTCTGCTATTGGTTTAGTCCTCACCATGAAGTAGAAAGAGAAAATATAGTAATGTACTTCTCTTAACTATCCCTAGGAGAGAAATCAATTTCCCTAGGTCTTCAGGAAAAATAGTTTAACTACAAAAGACATTTTAAACAGTAAAAATATTCCTGCAGGGAAAATGAAGAAAAGATGAGTTTTTAATGAAATGCAGGTATGTTGTTAATCTGAGATCAGACAACATCAGGCATGTTCAGGGTGATATGCCAATAGACATTGAATAGCCTGATGCAATATAAAAATTCTATCATAAAAACCAAGAAATTGATACAACAATGTACCTGTTTGCCTCAGATTGTATGTAAAATATTTAATTTAACTGCTCTTGATAAATATATATAAGCAAAACCTTTTTTCTTTAATGAAATGGACTACCTTGTCTGCCATTTAAAGTATTACAATATCTAAAAGTATGTTTTGTTACAATGTTCAGTATTTACAAAGTTATAATTATTAATGAAAAATTCTATTTCTCTCAAAATAGAAGGTAATTAGCTTTTTTTTCTTCTTGAGACAGGGTGGATTGGAACTCACTGTGTAGCCCAAGCTAATCTCAAACACACCATCTTCGTGTCTCAGTGTCCTAGTTGCCTATATCTTAGGTATACAGCAAGCAGCATGGTTGGGCAAAGGATGTAATTAGCTTTGTCATTAATCAATTCCTTATTGACCATTGTAGAATATGTACCCCTTCATTTCAATACCTAAATTAACTTATTTTTTGAGATTTTTACATGAGTACTGTATTTCTATCATTTCTTCTCCCCTCCTCCTCCATCCAACTCTTTGTGTCCTTTTCCTTTTCAAATTCATGAACTCTTATTATTTGTTGCACATCTACACAGACACAGAAAGAGAGAGAAAGAGAACAAACCTTTGTAAAAACCCAAGTTTGATTTTGTGTTTACTTTGTTGCCTTGGAGGGATTCATGTGAAGGAGCCTTGGCAAGTTTGCTATGAATGAGGAGAGGCTGCAGACAAAATACCAACTAGGCATTCAGTGGTCTGGCAGTTCTGACATGTTCACTAAGGTAAGATTCAAACAGTAAATATGATATGTTAAATATTTTACATTTTTTTTCTAGGAGTACGGGGTGCTTTGCATTCAAGAATACAGGAAAAGCAGCAAAGTGGAGTCAAGTGCACGGAATAGCTTCATGGGCTTGAAGGACCACCTGGAGCATGACCTTGGCCACCTATACATGGAGGGCTCTGACCTACAGATAAGTGCAGCTGTGCCTTGGCCTATGGGAGAGAAACCAACAATGGCTGCAGTCAGTGTGGGGAAGGAAGCGAAAGAGGTGTCTGAAGAGAACGTGAGCTCTGGTGACTCGGAAGAAAGCACAAATTCTGAGCATGAGTCAGAACAACTGTGTCGCCTCTCAGTAGAGCCGTGCGTATTCCCCAAGACCCACAGGCAGCTATGTCGGTCTCCCTGCTTAGACCCTCACCCGCTCAAACACAGTGACATTTTGCAAGACTTTAAACCAGAAGAGTCCCAGACTACATCCAAGGAAGTAAAGAAACCTCCTGATGTGGTTCGAGAATACCAAACAAAGCTGGAGTTTGCCCTTAAGTTAGGTTATTCTGAAGAACAGGTCCAGCTTGTGCTAAACAAACTTGGTACTGATGCTTTAATCAATGATATATTGGGAGAACTTGTCAAACTTGGAAATAAAAGTGAGGCTGATCAAACAGTTAGTACTGTTAGCAGTGTAATGCGGGAAACATCATCCCTGGAAGCTCAGAGGTCTGAGTCTCCAATGCAAGAGATTGTAACAGATGATGGTGAAAATCTGAGACCAGTAGTGATTGATGGCAGCAATGTGGCAATGAGGTAAGTTTTTTTTTTAATCTTTATTGAAAATATTGCTAAATCGTTAAAAATTATATCTAGTTTTATGGCTGTTTTTCTATTCATAGTGATTAAAATTAATATTGCTAAACATTTCAACATTAGCTTTTAGAAAACATTTGTTTTCTATCCTTGAATAGACACATTTTTCATATCTGTCTCGTTTTTTAAATTCCTCTGACTAAATCAGAATGGCTTATGCATGTTATAAGCCTTGTGATCATGGGTTTTAAAAAAACTCAAGTATGATGGCATCCATCAATTCTGGAATCTTAACCAAATAGTCTATTTTTATGTGAAAATAACTTAGGAAAACCCAGTTCTCCTAGAAGATAAAAGTCATTTATTGGTTTGAGAACAAATCATAGGCATGCTTTTCAGCTCTATGCTCCACTCGAGAACTGTTATTCAAACATAATATTTTAGGATCTGAGGAAAAGAAAGTGAAATAACCCCCGTGTGTGTGTGTGTGTGTGTGTGTGTGTGTGTGTGTGTGTGTGTGTGTAGCCTTGGCTATACTGAACTTGCTTTGTAGACCAGTCTGGCCTCAAATTCACAGTGATCTGCCTGCCTCTGCCTCCCCAAGTGCTGGGATTACTGTCGTGTGTCCCTGCACCCTGCTTGGAAATGAAAGCATTGTATTCGAGTGAATTTGATGCCCCGGGGTTGAAAGTTAGTCCAAATTCAGTCACTCAGGTGAACTGCCCACAGTGTTGAGTATTTATGAGGATAAAAATACATAAGATCTTCAAGAGCTTAAAGCATCATCTGTTGTGTACCAAAAGGATTTCTTGAAGATGCTTAGCCAAGAACAATTGTTGAAAATGTTTATTTTCTAGCAGTGTTTTAAGTGGCATTACAATGCAAACTACATGTTATTTTACCTGTCTTAGTATTTACACTAACATGCAAAACAACATTCCCACATATAATTAGTTTTTTAAAGTTACTAAGACATTTCTTATTATTCTTGTGATAATGAGCTTTTCAAATGTGATACAGTGCATCTCAATTTGGAATTGCTGTATGTAAGTGCTTAGTAGCACATCTGGTCATTGACTACCGTAGTTGGTAGTAATTTTAGGATGTCACAGATCGATAGCCAACTGAAGTTCAAGGCATAGCTTAGACATTCATTTATAAGAACTTTATTTAACAATGATCTATACTGAAATCTTAAAAACAAAAACAAAAACAAAAACAAAACTATTTTCCTTAGACCACATAATGTATGAAGAGGACCAGCTTGTACCCTTCTGGTTAGCCCTTTCAGATGGAGGGATCTTTTTTCATTTATCAGCAAATTGAACTTACAGGATCTAAAATGCTTACAGTGGCTAAACATTATTCAAAACCAACTATGTCAGTGTATTCACCCTGCATTGGATAGTAGAAGAGGAAATGTGGCAAAGGTTCTAGCCCTCTCTTACAAGGCTTAAACAGGGTTGAGAATGTGATTCAGTGGGAGTCCACTTGCCGAGGATGTGTAATTCCATGAGTTAATCCCCAACACTGCAACAAGGCCTTAAATGCTTTGCAATGCAAAGATAATTAAAGGGTTTTAAATAGAATATTTTACACCATCTTGTCAGTGATGTGTAGCAAGTAGGAGATCATTTTAATGCAAAACAACATATGCTAGTGGGTGAAGAGAACCATGACAAGTACCATAGAGGTGTGAAGCAGCACGGGACTTTGAGAAGTCTTTCAGTAAGAACCCCTCTGCTGTTTAATCTTTTCCAAATTTGATGGCAGAATGATAGTTTTTCTTATAATAACCCACAAGTACTAAATTATTAATGTGGTGATAATATATAGTTCCAAAAGCTATGAAATTGCCCTAAAGAAAGTAGTAAGGACAATTGTAGACCCTTAGGGAAGCACCTGTTGTCGCAGCTACATTGCTAGAATTACCAGGTTCTTTAAAAAATGTGTTTTCTAGTATCCGCCACGTAAAGAGCCTGATGGCCAATCAAGTGAAGGAAAGCCCAACCCTATAATTATTGTCACCATTATCTTGCTGGGCAGTCACTGTTGAGAATCATCATTAAAAGTATTGATAGCTAGAGGTCATTGCGAAGAAAGAAGAGGTAGCCCAGGGCTGGTAGTGTAAAAATGCTAGTGTCAGAAATAAATAATCATAGTGCTGGAAAAACGAGACCAAAACAAAGTCATCAAACAAGAAGAAGAGGAAGGCTTTCAGAGAAGAGGGTCTATCCTTTGTAGTGCTTAAAAAAAAAAAGAGTCACAGGACTTTACAGCCAGGAAATTGTCTTCAAGAATGCCATACAGTATTGACACCAGAAGCCCAACTGCTAAACGTTAAGAGATTGATCTGGACTATTATGCTAGAACACTGGTTCTCAATCTGTGGGTTGCAACCCCTTCAGGATTCAAATGACCTTTTCACAGTGGTCACATATCAGATATTTACTGTACTATTTATAACAGTAGCAAAATTATAGTTATGAAGTAGTAATAAAATAATTTTATGGCTAGAGTCACCACAGCATGAGGACCTGTACTGAAGGGTTGCAGCATTGGGAAGGTTGAGAACCGCTGCACTAGAAGGTTAACAGAAAAGGACAGGGAAGGAGGAAAAGTTGGGGAAAGATTTTGTTGCATTTTAACCTGACATGGTGAGAATTACCTGTAGAAAAGCTTTAATGCAAGACACATGGCATAATTAAAACATTTCAAACAATTGTTTTTATATAATTATTCTCACAAACCTCTGCCTCCACCTTGCTATAAAAATGGGGCCATGCAGATCCATTTCTTCTCTTCATCACATATTTTAATCTGACACCTAGCCTGAAGTGCTTCAGGCATTTCAGGAGAGAACAAGTTGATGGGAAAATTTTATTGTAGCAATATTATTCTGTCAGTCACAATAAAACATTTCACCATATATGTCTATAATTTTGAAAGTGCCAGGACTCATGAAAATTTATAGGAAACTTACACATTCTGCCATTTATAAAATCTACCCATAGTTTCAAAATCATTTATAAATACATATTTACTTTAGGTCCAAAATTTTTCTGGAACAGGAACATGGAGGAATTGCCTCCATTTTTATGCTGTACAAAATACTTTCACTTTTAAAACTATTTACTCAAGCTAAGCTTAGCAAACCTATTTTGTAGCTAATATATTTGCACATGTAATAGATTATATGTGATAAGCAAATAGGGAACTAGTTTAGAATAAAATCTTATTTTGTTATCTTTCTTATCTCAACAGATACTATAAAAAAGAAAACATTTCATTCTCAGTTAAATGCTAACCGAAGACTTGCTATACAGCCAATTTATATGCAAATTTAAAGTAGAAGAGCAATACCATTTTTATTAAAAATACAAAATGGCCTGAGGATTGAACACAGCACCCTAATGCGTGCTAGGCAAACTACCACTCAACTCCACCAGCTTCCCTGTTAGCTTTTACGGGACTTAATTCTCTATGTAACACTCTTCTGATGTTTTCCAAGTGTTCAAAGTCTTCAGGTTCTGTTTTCAGATTCTTGAAGGGGAACTTCTTCTTTTGCAAGACTGTTTATTAGCATGAGAGATAATTGTTACCAACGCTTAGTCTGTAATAGTCAGTAAATTACCTTAAAGAAATGACCTTGGAAACAAGAATATTGTAACATAAAAAATAAAATTGGGGCCGGGGCTGTAGCTCAGTGGTAGAGTACTTGACTCCTATGAGTGAGTCCCAAAGTTCAGTTTGAGAGAGAGACTTAAATTTAGTGATTATCCCAGTTTTATTTATTTTTATTCATGAACTATTTTTTGAGAATTTTGTATATAAGTACACTATATTTACATAATTTTTATCCATCCCTCTCCCTTCCAACTTCTCTAAGTTTCCCCAGTCACTTCACCCCAAATCCATATTCTCTTATTCTATAATTATTGTTTTATATATACTTACATGTATATGCAAAGAGTCTAAATGTTGCCACCCTATGTACATGGGTTTAGGGATGACCATTTAGGTAACCTGTCAGGGAGCGTATTCCTAAAGAAAACTGTTTTTTCTTCCCTCAGAAACCACTGACTGCCTGTAGCTCTTCTGGGGCGGTGGCCTGGTAAACCTTTTCCCATCTGTGTTGACATGCCATCTGGTGTGGTCTTGTGCAAGGCATAACCATAGTAACTTAATAGCCCATTTGCTCTTATGAGCTATGAATGATAGGCTTTCATAATTGTATTGATTTTGATCACCATGCCATCAGTGACAGTTTCCACAGTGTCATACGGAGTCCCAAAATTGACTTTTTCTGTTGTTTTCGGAAGCATGCTTCCTCTTTGAGCTTACTAATAGTTTCTTTTGGTGGTAATGGAAGTTGCTGCTATTGTTGTTTTTAATATGCTACAATGATAGGGATTAAATAGTCTGATGAACATAGTTTGCCACAATATGATAGATGAGTATTCAACTTATTATACAACAATTTGTGACAGCCACTTCACTACCAAACAGGTATAGGATTTTTAAGGACCTCGTATGCAAAACTAGAAAAGGGTGAACTGTTTTTAGAGAAATCCTTCAATTTTCCTGTAAAGTGATAGAAACCAAAGTAGTGCTTGCTTTTGAGTATAGAACAGAATAGAATTTGTGTTCAGTGAAGCTACTCTTAGAAGGTCTGATTAATGGCTGTAGCTAATATCAGTTATTTTTAAAAATCAGTAAATTATTTCATTTATTATTCACTCAGCAAATGGACCTCTTTCCTTAATAGCAATATTTCATAGTCATAAAGTTTACACTCCATTTAAAGACATGAAATCAAAATATAACTTTTACCATAAGTGCTAGAATTCTTGTTATGATTCCTGTTTCTTCAAAATTTGTGATTCCATTAAATTTAAGATAGCTCAGCAGTAGATTATAAAATTAGTTCTCTCCATATATACCCATTAGTTTGAAGTAATGTGTTTCCATTAAAAAATCCAATATTTAAGATCTTTTCA